GTAAACATACATCAAACTTTTTCCAAGTAGCATTTTGATAGAATATAACAATGGGAAATGTAATGATAGAAGTTATAGAGAAATATGACATTTACTATCATAATAGTTTTGGGGATTTAAAAATATCTTCACCGCATTACCTGACATTTAACTTAACTGAAACTGATATCCTACCAGTAAATATGCCTACCAAAAGTTTGAACTATCTCTGAAAACTTAAGCAACTAAGCTTATCTTAAATGAGCTAAACTAAAAGATAAAAGATAAACTAAAAGATAAAAAAATACCAAACTAGTTCTTTCCAAATTTGCTACCACCATTCAATTAGATATAACCATGTGTTAGATATAACCATCTATATTTTGTAAATAATATTTATTTTCATTTTGTCGTTAGAATTTAACTTTACCAGAAATGACATTTTTGTTTTTTTCTGTTTGTTTGTTTTATTTATTTTATTTCTGGTTGCACTGCATTTTTGTCGCTGTGCACAGACTTTCTCTAGTTGTAGTGAGCAGGGGCGACCCTTCATTGTGGTCCACAGGCTTCTCGTTGCTGTGGCTTCTCCTGTTGCAGAGCGTAGGCTTTAGGCACATGGGTTTCACTAGTGCAGCATGAGGCGTGCTCAGTAGTTGTGGCAGAGCTCAGTTGCTCCGTGGCATGTGGAATCTTCCCTGACCAGGAATTGAATCCACGTCCCCTGCATTGGCAGGTGTATTCTTACCCAAAGGACCATCAGGAAAGTCCAGGAAATGACATTTTTCAAAGATATTGCCTTATAATGAATCTCTTCTGTCACACTGATAAGGTCTAGTTGACTTCTTTATCAGAGTAGTTCCACTTATACAGTGAAAACAGGATAGATGGAGCTGCCTTTCCTTCCTACTAACTTCTGGGATGGTCCATTTGTAAACTGTGTTGCTGTTGAGCTTCTCCTGTTGCAGAGCGTAGGCTTTAGGCACATGGGTTTCACTAGTGCAGCATGAGGCGTGCTCAGTAGTTGTGGCAGAGCTCAGTTGCTCCATGGCATGTGGAATCTTCCCTGACCAGGAGTTGAATCCACGTCCCCTGCATTGGCAGGTGTATTCTTACCCAATGGACCATCAGGAAAGTCCAGGAAATGACAGTTTTCAAAGATATTGCCTTATAATGAATCTCTTCTGTCACACTGATAAGGTCTAGTTGACTTCTTTATCAGATTAGTTCCACTTATACAGTGAAAACAGGATAGATGGAGCTGCCTTTCCTTCCTACTAACTTCTGGGATGGTCCATTTGTAAACTGTGTTGCTGTTGTTGAGTTTCTAAGTGGTTGGTGGCCCAATTCTTTGCAACCCCTGGACTGAAGCACACCTGTCTTCCCTTTCCTTCACTATCTCCTGGAGTATGCTCAAGTTCACGTCCATTGAGTTGGTGATGCCTTCCAACCTCCTCATCCTCTGTCACACCCTTCTCCTCCTGCTCTCAACCTTTCCTAGCATGAGGGTCTTGTCTAATGAGTTGGCTCTTTGCATCAGGTGACCAACATATTGGAGCTTCAGTTCAGCATCAGTCTTTCCAATACATTTTCAGGGTTGATTTCCCTTAGGATTGACTGGTTTGATCTCTTTGCTGTTCAAGGGACTCTCAAGAGTCTTCTCCAGCACCGCAATTCAAAAGGATCAATTATTTGGCTCTTAGCCTTCTTTATCATTGAACTTTCACATCTGTTTTACTGTTAAAACCACAGCTTTGACTATACAGATCTTTGTTGGCAAAGTGATGTCTTTGCTTCTTAATACACTATCTAGGTTTGTCATTATAACCACCATTAATTTTTACAAATGCTTTCGATATTCTACACATACATGACAGCGTCAAGAGAGGAAAGGGAAGTATGTCTTACTTATTATTGAGCGATGGCTAGGATGGCTAGATATTCTACTCATTTATTACACTGGCCTGCCCAGATGTTTGGTCCCTCTGAATGGATATACCTGCTGCTATAGCATTATGTAGAAACTATCTCAGCACTAGGTATATTAGAAATGACATGTTTTATGAAAAATAGGTCATATAAAATAGAAAGGTGTCTTTACTTCTGGGTTAACCAGAGTGAATCTGTTATCGTGGATCAAAGCTCAACATTAATAAGTTATACTGGAACACATTGTATTAATTCTAACTTTATACATATGAAAAAAACATGTTTTTGATATTACCACCAGTAAATTCTATGATTACCCCTGGAAATTCTGACCAAAAATGATTTATCTTGTCCACAAAGCTGAGAAAGTGGATAGATAAACATTATACAGAGTGTTTTACCATTGCTTCTCCTTCTGCCTGCATAAACTCAGTAAAAACCAGTTCACTTTGCTACACAGATAAAATTGTATAAACCTTATGACCATGACCATGCTGAAATATCATATTCAAAGATGAATTTCCCTTACTCCAATAACACAGGTCAATTCAGTTCAGTCTCTCAGTCGTGTCCGACTCTTTGCGACCCCATGAATTGCAGCACGTCAGGCCTCCCTGTCCATCACCAACTCCAAGAGTTTACTCAAACTCATGTCCATCGAGTCGGTGATGCCATCCAACAATCTCATCCTCTGTCATCCCCTTCTCCTCCTGCCCCCAACCCCTCCCAGCATCAGGGTCTTTTCCAATGAGTCAACTCTTCTCAGGAGGTAGCCAAAGTATTGGAGTTTCAGCTTCAGCATTAGTCCTTCCAATGAACACCCAGGACTGATCTCCTTTAGGATGGACTGGTTGGATCTCCTTGCAGTCCAAGGGACTCTCAAGAGTCTTCTCCAACACCANCCTGGCACACTACAGTCTATGGAGGTGCAACTGAGTGACTAACACACAAATCTTTTAGCCAGAATAAATGCACAACTCTATTGGTAAATCAAATTCAGTTGAAAGCAGTGGCTGACTTTATTTTTCTGGGCTCCAAAATCACTGCAGATGGTGACCGTGGCCATGAAATTATGTGTGTTGTGGCACGTGTGTTTGTGTGTGTGACTTGTGTGTGTTTCGAAGGCTGGCAGGTTGCCTTTATGATCTATTTGGGGGAGTTTGAGACATAAATTTCCATGATGTAGCCATTTCCAGAAGAGAAAATTTTAAAAGCGGCATGTTTGCCCTTTACTAATTAAATCAACTACTTGCTCTCAGAAGTGACTGAGACAATCTGAAATGTATCATGAGTCTGGGTTCATTAGTGGGTTTCTGAGCACAGCTGTTGCTCACTGCTCTTGGTGCTGCTGACACCGGTGGCCGGATGCAGGTCTTAGTTTGCTCCACTGGCCCCTGCAGAGAGGACGTATAAGACAAGGTCTAGAAATATTCTCACAATCAGCCAGCGTATCTTTCCAGTTCTGCTGCTATGCAAGCAAGCTTACTATACAGCTCACTTATTGTTATTACCCCTCAAAGGGGTAATTCATCTACGTGGAAAGGAACTACCCTAAAGTTTATCTCTAATTATAAAGAAGTACCAAACAATTTTACGTGGTGTTTTGATTTTTTGAGACATATGTATATCTAATATTCATACCATCATAACCTGTTCTAGCTTAAATTTGGTGTGTTTTGCTTGATCCCAGTGGATAGAAAACTTTCTCTTTATTGTATCCCTTACCTTCATCAAGATACACTTTTTCTCTAGTATATTGGGCAATTGTCACTTCCCATTAGATCCTTTTTTTTCTTTACTAGGACATATTTGGAATAAACTGATTTATAATCCATATTTCGTACATAGATTTTGTGGAAAAAAAATGATACATTCTCTTTTTCCCTGAAGATAGATATACTCAAAAATTATCATTTAAAACCAAATGTCTTTTTGATGACTCTCATTTTGAAATAATTCTAAGGTCTCTTGCAAATAGGAAAAGTTTTCTTCTAGAACCACCCTTGTATTATTTTACTTCTGAATTACAGAAAATGTCAAGTTGATAATTCACTTCAACTCATCCTTTATATGGAGAAAAAATCAAATGTAAAAATTTTGCAACATTTTCATAAAGGGCAACAGAGAAAAGACTTCATGAAGTTTCTATGAACTTTTTTCCCTTCTCAAAATGCTGAGAAATTGAGGGAGTGGATTTCTCAGCACCTATGATTAATGTCTAATAGCTGATTGTGTCTACAAATTTACATATTAAAATCCTCCTAATTCTATAATAAATTCCTTTTATTTTCCTTTATATTATAATCATGTGTATATATGCATTTTTGCTATTAATTTTATTTCATAGTAAGAAACAGAGTATAAAAAATATTTTTGATAAAAATGGGGCATTGAGTTTCACAGAGTTGAAATCCACTGTCCAACGCAGAGGACTTTTGTCCTGCTCAGCTTTGTCTTTTTAACTCTTTAAATATTTGGATTTAAAATATAATAAACCTCTTGATTATGGTTTTAAGTCAAATAAGTAAGAGTAATTTTATCAGGGTACCTCTCTAAATTCTCCACCAATTAGTATGGAGGTATCTTCTCCTAGGCTCTCATACTGAGTGTTTTACTGAGCAAGGGCTTGCTGCCAGATGTGCAAAGAAGCCAATGCTGTGGCAGCAACTTCTGAGAAAAGAGCTTCACTCTGGAGGTTGACAGTCAAGGAGACAGGAGACAAGGCCCTCAAATACATCTCCTTGATCAGGGTTGGAGCTAAATGTGAGAGTTGGGGGGAATTTTAACTTGGAAGATGACTGGCTAGTTTTAACTCAGTCCTTCTAAGTCACTGGCACTGCTGGGAGCTGGATTTTCCTGACTGAAGGACTTGCTTCTGAAGGGCTCAGCTGGCAACGTTCCTGTTCTTTAAGTTCTGTAGCCTGGAGATTCTTGGTTTTGTGAGTCACCCTGAAGAAAAGACCCTGATGCTGGGAAAGATTGAGGGCAAGAGGAGAAGGGGTCAGGCGACAGAGGATGAGATGGTTGGATGGCATCACCGACTCAATGAGCATGAGTTTGAGCAAACTCTGGCAGACAGAGGAGGACAGGGAAGCCTGGCATGTTGCGGTCCATCGAGTTGCAGAGGGTCAGACGTGAGTGACCGACTGAACAGCTGAAGACATGAGCAGTGCTGTCTGCAAAATAACGCAAAGGCTTGATTAATCAACAGTCTATTAAAGCAACAAAAACAAACCAAAAAAAACCTGTCAGTATTTTAAGTGCTGTTTCAAAAGGACCAGCAGTCCTAGTGTTATCTGGGAGTTTTGTTTGTTTGTTTGTTTTTTAGGAAAGCAGTAGCTCAGGCTCCCAGATCTCCTGAGTTTTAATATGCATTTTATCAAGAAGGGTTAGTTAGGGAGTTTGGGATGGACATGTACAAAATATAAATGGTATAAACACATGCGATTACATCTAAATAAATCCTGGTAGCAAAGATAGAAAGGATCAATTTGATATTTTTTATATATTTTAGTTTCTTAAATGAGCATAGTTGCTTAAGTTTTCAGGGATGGTAGGTAGTAATATTTACAGTGTAAGATACCAGTTTCAGTTAAGTAAGATGACAGAGGTGATGCAGCGAAGATATTTTTAAGTCCTAAGCCCTACTATGATGGCATGCCTCCTATTTCTTGTATTATTATATAAGAATAATAATAAAACTTCTGTTATCACATTTCCCATTGTTATAGTCTATCAAAATGCTACTTGGAAAATGTTTAATGCATGTTTATTTTTAGATCTTTTTCATGTTATTCAGTTAAACTAAATACTACTTATTTCATTCAAATTAGGAGAAAGACAATGAGACATACTATGTGTTGGAAGACCCAGAAAAATAAATAATATGAAAATATGATTGTTGGTCAGACATATCAATGTATTTAAAATGGATAACCAACAAAGACCTACTGGATAGCACAGAGAACTCTGCTCAATGTTACATGGCAGTCTGGATAGGAGGAGAGTTTGAGGGAGAATGGATACATGCATATGTGTGGCTGAGTCCCTTCACTGTTCACCTGAAACCGTCACAACATTGTTAATTGGCTCTACCACAATACAAAATACAAAGTTCAAAAGAAAAAAAAAAGACATCCAGGTAGTTTGTATGCCCAATAAAATCCGAGACGTACCGTCCTTCTCTGAAGACTGGTAACAGCAGCAGGCTGGGACCCTCTCTTCATCTTGTGCATGAAGTGAAGTGGAGTGAAAGTCACTCAGTCATGTCTGACTCTGCGACCCCATGGACTATACAGTCCAGGGAATTCTCCAGGCCAGAATACTCTAGTGGGTAACCTTTCCATTCTCCAGGGGATCTTCCCAACCCAGGGATCCAACTTGGGTCTCCTGCATTGCAGGTGGATTCTTTACCAGCTGAGCCACCAGGGAAGCCCCATCTTGGGCATGGGGATCTGCAAACTGATGCCATTCAGTCAGCATCATCTCATCTTGGCAGGTTCCTGTGACCACCATTCCTGAACGTGAAGGAAGTCAGTAGCATGGGTTATTTTCTCTCTTGTGGGCAAGTGTAGACAGTTATTTCTATAAGGAGGGAGATGGGAGATGGTAGGGGCAATAACAGGGTGGTGGGGAGAGGCTGTCTAGCGGACCTAAACTGTCCCACCAGAATTCAGTGTTGGAGACTGCTGGGGGGAGAGGGACACTCCTGTGTCACAGGGGCTCTCACCTCTGCCAGCAGCCAGCAGGTTTGTTCATTTCTGTTACTTCTCCTTACAACAGCAAGACAGAGTAGTTTGACTGGACCAGGATTATTTATGTTTCCTTTCTTGCAGATTTTCTCTCATAAATAAATAAAGTATAGGGTTTGAGTAAACCTTTTCTCCCCCATTTCCCCTCTCCAGGTCTCTAAAGATGACTTCTAACCCTGCACCACCATATATAAGCAGATCTAACTATAATAACTCATAATCACAAAGGGTCTTTCACTGAATTAGGAATTCTTCCTTTATCCTGGACTTGCCCTTTAAGGGAAGCCAATCTTCCTTAACTCCCAAGACAGAGAAATTTCTCAAACAAGAAAGCACTAACTTTAGTGACTGTGAAATCCTTTCCCTTGTCCACTTTATCATAAGGGGGTTACATGAGAAGAAGCCGTCATCAAGGTGAGTTTAAGGTCATTTTCTGCGGTGATCTCTGTGAAGAACAAGGGGAAAGCTATCTCTAGCAGGGACTGTCATCTGAAGAGGTAAATACAGGAGAATGTCTGGGTGCTACCTGAAAAATGTGAGGTCATTGTATGATTTGGGACTGGACCAGAAATAAGGATCCCATATCAGATTCTTCCTGGAATTCAGATTTAATGTTCTTTGTATCAACTTTCATATCAACTTGAAATATACTGATTATCCCCAATACCAGCTGGTTAGGAATGAGGAAAACCTAATGGACAGGAAAATAGTATTTATCAATGTCAATTTCCTAAATTCTTTGGAGGAAAACTCTCCTTCATTTCTGGGTTTATTTACATATTTTTTTGTTTTTTGTTTCGTTTTTATTCCTGTTTCTATTTTACTTTGCTACTCTGCATCTCTACTATTTAAAACCTTACAAATAAAGAAATTTTCGCCATACTAAGTAATCATTTAGCTCAAATTTCCCTCAAAATATATGTGCATTTGTGGTTCACAGCTGTTAGTCAAGCAAGGCTCACACACTCTGCTGCTGACTGTAACACACACACACACATTGTGGTTGTGATTACACACGTGGCAGGGCGATTTGTTCAGACTGAGCCAACTAACACTTTTTGGTCATCTACAATCATGTTATCATGTAGTTAAAACACAGATGATTAAATTTCTCTATAATAACTGTCAAAGAGATTCTGGAATCATTAATTATGAAGAGTAATAAAAGGGGAAATACATAGCTTTTCAGTATTAGGAGGTTCTTACTGCTGAAAAAAAGGCTTTTTATATCCTCAGAGAAAATCCATAGGTATTAGAATTTTGTTCTTGTTTTGTATGCCCCCTGCATGTTTCTTAGCCTACCTGGACTTGGTACGCTCAAGTTGAGTGGATGCACACAAACACACACGTTGTTGTTCAGTTGCTAAGCCCCGTCTCTTTGTGACCTCATGGGCTGTATCACTCAAGGCTCCTCTGTCCTCCGCTATCTCCCAGAGTTTGCTCAAATTCATGTTCATTGAGTCAGTGATGCTATCTAACCATCTCATCCTCGGTTGCCCCCTTCTCCTTTTGCCTTAAATTCTCCCCAGCATCAGTGTATTTTCCAATAAGTTGGTTCTTTCTATAAGGAAGCCAAAGTATTGGAGCTTCAGCTTAAGCATCAGTACTTTCAATGAATAGTCGGATTGACTGGTTTGATTGACTTTAGGATTGACTGGTTTGATCTCCTTGCAGTCCAAGGAACTCTCAAGAGTCTTCTCCAGCACTACAGATCAAAAGCATCAGTTCTTCAGTGCTCAGCCTTCTAATGTGTATAAGAAGCTTATATATATATACACTAGAATCTGCTCTATTCTACTGAATCAATCCCTTTTTGTGTATGGCTAATGTCATGTGTATCATGAACACTCAAAGACATAGTAGGAAATGCAGCCGTGTTTAAAGGAGTGTAGCCACGTATGACCTTCAGGGAGCATGTAAACACTTCTTCAGAACAATCAGAGCCTGCCATTCACATAGCAGGTTCTTGCCTGTGTGTCCTTGGAATACCTTTTTATCCCCTTCATAGACAAGGCCAATAATTCATGAGAGAGCTGGGAATAGAATACAGTCCTCCCTTTTCCCAGCAGAGTATTCTTGTCACAAGATTATATTGGCTCCTTACACACATTAGCCATTTCGCTTGCGCACTGAAACAGATCAGTATTTTTGATTGAGTTTGACATTTTGAAATTTAACTACAATAGCTTACCCTATAAACAGGAAGTGACTGTAAAACAGATGTTCTTATTTAGAGAACATGTTACCAAAAGAGCAAAACACTAAATTTGTCCTTGCTGTAATTGTGTCATTTAAACCAAGAGGAAAAACTCAGAGTCCTAAGACTGAAGAAACCCTGATAGGAAAATTATACCATCATTCAATGTTATAAGATGTCACCTGAAGAAAGAATGTGATTTAAGGTTCAACACTGTTCCCATGTGATATGAATACCAATTTTCAAATTCTGGTATACAGTTACTGAATGAAAACTTCCAGTATGTATTGAAATAAAGATTAGTGGATAGCTTAATGAATTAGGGAAAGGATTCATCTTTAAACTCTGGAAGTCCAATGACCATGTTTTTAAATTTTGTTTAAAAATCAGTCCTATGCATTCATTAATTATGAGCTTTTATCTATGAAAGTTAGGGAAGTGATTTTTAATTTGTTTAAAAAAAAAGGCAAATTTAGCATGAAGGCAGTCAATTCTGAAATCAAAATTTATCATGAACATACATTTAATGGATTTTAAGAGCTATTGAAAATTGTTTAAATGCTTTTTTAAATGATCAAATGAGTATTTTCATGTACTTTATCTTTCTATAATAATTGTGACTACCCTGTGATGCTTCCCAAAGGAATCTATGCTCATCCACAGCCCCTTAGAAAAAGTAGATGTGTAGACCATATGTGTGCCTAATGGATTAACTCAGCTGATTACAGCTGAGGCAACCAAGGTGGATGACTGACCCATGGTGAGAAAATATTTAGAATGAGCACATTAGTAGATTAGATCAGTCACACATCGGGAGCCAGATAGTGTATGTGATTATTTTTTTAAGGTTTTCAGTTAGAGTGCCTTTTGGAAAAGCCATAAGAACACATGACCAACCTGAGTTGAAATCAGATGGTGCTCATTTGTTCATAGAGGAAAAAGAATCAGACACATGCAGAGATGCTGCAATGAGTGACTCCTTAACTTTGCAGGAGATAACATAGACTTGGTTCTTACATCTCAAGAATAAGACCTAATATGAACTGTCTATAGTTAATTTCCAGCATCTGAATGATATGGTGGCTACTAATTTCTTCCTTGTCAAGAAAAAGTAAAAAAATAAAATAAAATAAAAAATAAAATTTATTCTGCTACTTAAGCCAACTTGACTAGAGTAGTATTTGATGTGCAATAGCTTTAATATTGCAAATTTTCTTGGGTCAGACACTTTCAGATACGTAATTTGAAAGCTGTATTTCTAGAATTGACTTTAATTTTTAACTTTGATTTTGCCTCATGGCAGAGGATTTAATCTAGACACTTGGGCTTTCAATTAAATAGTCTTCCCAAGATATATAAATTAATGATAGTCAATTTAGAAAGTTCATTTTAGGAATTCCCTGATATTCTTGTCATTAGTGTCCCGCAGAACATGGACCTACCAAAACAGCCTCCAGAAGAATGTACTTACAGAACTGGGCACATGCCAGTGATGGGCATTAGAAGGGACCACAGGTTCATTGCACTTCTGAGTACGATGGTTCTGGGCTGGCATCAGCCCCTGATTTTATCTCTTTGGAGAACAGGGTTCAATTCCTGCATCAAGAAGATCCCCTGGAGAAGAGAATGGCAACCCACTCCAATATTCTTTCCTGGAGAATTCCGTGGACAAAGGAGCCTGGCAGGCTACAGTCCATGGGTGTGCAAAGAGTCAGACACAACTGAGCGACTAACACTTTCACTTTTGGAAGGAAAATGTCTCATAATGGCCCAACGCAAGTGATTCTTTCTAATTTGCAGGTGCAAGCTCTGATTTCCCTGGTGTGTTTGGCTACCTATTTTATCTACTCTGAGGGAGGGACATTATGAGGCATTTCTCTAATGTGCTGCTCCTTGACTCAGAGTATGATGAAGCGCACTTCAATTATAACTGACTTCTAAGGTCATCAGTAAATGTTAGCCCTCTTTTTCAGGTCCTTGAAAAACACAAAAATCATAAGGAAAGGGATTAAGAAGGCTACCTCTCAAATTTAGTTGCAATGTAACCTCCTTGGCTGTTCTTACCAGACATCAAAATGGAGAATTTCCATTATAGTTCCTCACTTAAAATTCTCTTTTCTCAGAGAATCGCTAGAATTCAGGGATCTCCTCTCATAGTTCACTGGTTAAACTTGCAGTATCAGAATGGAGTCTTTGATCCTAAAGAACTTGTTATTTTATTCTTCATGTATTCCCTGTATGTATTTATTTATAGATAAAGTATCAGAAAACCATTAAGCATCAATTAATTGAAAAGGTAAAAGTCATAAAACCACCACTGAGCTGTTTACAGGAGTATAGAATTGTAATGAAATGATATGTAAAGTTCTAACTTTTGTAAAAGTACATATAAGCAGCCACCCCCTCAGTGGTAATGACCAAAGGAGCAGAAGGATTTTTTTTTTAAAGATACTGAATATAAAAGAAAGGTTAGGAATAATGAGAGAAAGTGAGAAACAGCAGCTGTTGCCCTTTATGTTGGGATAATCTGTTTAAGAATAAAATGTGAAAAGAAATTTTGATTGTCCTTCGAACTTCTTATCTGTTCCCAAAGATTTCAGCAAGAATCATCCCATGATCACAGTGGAGATAGCCGTTTAGTGGAATAAATCAGTGTTACATAAGCATCGTACTTGCTTTTTTGCCCCCAGTCTCAGGAAGCAAATTGCCTGAACATGTCACATTATTTTTCACTCCACCTTCCTTGTTCACCTCTCTACCCTCTACAGACATTCTGGGTTCTGAGATTATTAGAGGAAGCTTAAGGCCAATAGTTCAAAACAAGTCATTTTCATCTATTAGGAAGAGAAAATGGATGAAGTATAAATGATTGTTTTGGACCTTTGTATTCTTTGACTGATTCTTTGTGATAACTCTGTGCCCTGAGCACAGTACTAAGGACTCAAAAAGGGATCACAGGATCCCTCTATACCTATAATTCATCTCATTAAAGATGCATGATTTATATATTGCCTGTATCTAAAAGCATTCAAGAAATTTGATGCAGCTCAGCCATAAGAAGCATAAACATTATTAAAATTAAATAGTGTAGCTAGTAAAGGTAAACTAATAACTTATTGGTGTGATTATCAACCCTTCTCACAAGTACATTTCTATATTCAAGGTTAAAGAGGTTATATTTAAAAAATGCTACAGAATTACCCAGTAAAAAAGGAAAACATCAAAGGATGGTACAAAAAAAGTTTCCTGAACTACAGTGTAATGGAAATATGTTTTATCAGTATTATAATAATGTAATAAAATATATGACTTTACATATTAATTTCTAGACTATTTTAGCTTTAAAGAACTTTTACCCTAGAGTCTTCTGATTGAAATTACTATAATAATAATCAGAAGAATAAAATTTGCTATAAAATTAATTAAAATAGTCAAGAATGTTTGTGAGAACAGAGACATGACAGTAAATTATACATATTCATCTTTAAACTCT